AATATTTTTATTAATTCTCTGAGAATTTCATGCAATATAGTTTGTTCATATTACCTTCCACTCCTCCCTCTATCTGCTCTGGGATCCACCCTCCCCTGCTGACCTCCCAGTAGAGTCTGACGGATGTAAGAGGGAAAGTGTAAACACCACCCTGAATTTTCCCTAGGAATAGGCAGTTGAGAAATGAGCCCAGGATTATGCAGCCCCAAATAACAACCCTATATCAGAAAATCTTCCTGGCGTATTTCAAGAGCATTTTTCTTTCCAAAAGGACGTATGAACACTATCACTGTAGAGTTTGAAGTGATTGTCGAGTCAATTATGACTTAACCTAGGAGTGGAACAATTACCTCTACTCCAAGACAGGTCTGGCCTTTGGCCTCAGCTCCTGGGTTGTGATCTTCTAGCCCTTGATATGTCCAACCTGTTGGAAGTTGGGAAGGAAAAAAGTAGGAAGTTAGATGGGACCAAAGTTTTGAAGATGCCTAGCATTTTCATGTGTATGACCCAGGAGCTGTTGCTAAGCAGGCAAGGGCAATGTCAGTTCTTCTGTGTGGTAAATTCGTGGCACTGGGATAAAAGCACCAGAAAGAACGTGACTACCATTCTGCACGTTTTAAATGACTTGCTGTGCTGGTCTGTTGAGCTTGCTATAACAAAATACTGTAAACTCGGTAGCTTACAAACAATGGGAATGTATTTCTCACAATACGGAAGCAGTAGAGTTTAACATTAAATGCCTGTAGATTCATTGTGGGCTGTCTGCGACTTTATCAGTTTTACTGTCTACATCTTCACTGGTAGGCCCTTGCTAGCACTGTGTAGTCTTTTTTTTTTTTTAAGGACACCAATGTCAATCATGAGAACCCTGCCCTCAGTATCTAATTGGCTCCTCAAAACGCCACATCCAGGAAACCAATTTAAGGTTCAGAAGTCAACAACTGAATCGGGGAGGGAGACATGTGCATTCACTGTGTGCCAGTCACTATCTAAGCCCTTGCTGTGAACCCATTGTCCTAATTAACCCACTGCTCTGTGTAAACACTGCACTGTTTCTGAAGTGGTGTGCAGAGAGAGAGAAGCAGCAGCTTGTCTGTGGTACAGCAGGAAGGACCAGAATCAGGGTGTGAGTCTCCAGCTCCTCTGGGCTTTTTGACACGGTCTCTGGAATTTATGGGGCAGAGGAGATGAGGCGATTTGGGCACCTGCCTCATAAAGGTAGATAAATTCTCATACAAGTCCTATTACCATGCATGACTACTTTTGAAGACACGTCCGGACCCCCAAGGCCAGCTTGGCCTTTGTTCTTGTCCCTGTCTCTTCGTTAGTCTTTCTTTTGTTTCCCTTGCCTGAAGACCTCAACTGGCCTGAATTTCGGGGTCCCTGTGCCTTAGCTTCCTTCCAAGGGGAGTGCCCCTCTGACAATGCGTCTTTACCCCATCTTTAGTCTAAATTGTTCTTCACATCCCTAATGTGCGTTTTCTCCTACAGCCCACGCCATGAGATTTCCTTCTTCTGCTTGCTCTCCGTCCACCCCTAACCACGAATCTGAGTGTGCGTGCGTTTTTTCTTCCTTCATTTTGTTGTCCATTTACACCCACAATAACTAATGTGCGAGTTCTCATAGTACTGCCAGACACTCTGTTCCCTTGATCACCACTTAAGGGTGTGCTGTGGCCTGCATATCTCGATTCTGGAGACCTGGTTGGGGTGATGAGGTAATGAAGAAAGAACAGACACGTGCAGAAAAGCTGGGCTCACACTGGCCACAGGCGCACTCTGCTGGGGCGTCACCAACTCCAAACAGCAGCCTGGAACCCCAGCATCAGGGAGGAGTTAGCTCAGAAGGGGGCCTCTAAGGGTAGGCAGCCTCAGGCTGTAGAAACCTGGAAGGAGGAAGCTGCGGGTGCTAGTTTTTTCACATACTGGACAGTTGTTCACAGACACGCATACCTGCACACACTGCCCAAATTCGCACTGGGGCCAAAGGAAGATTTTGTGGTCCCTCCAACCCTCACCCCAGGGAAAAGGTTTTGTCAGTTCCCATTGGGTCTGAGGCATTGGGTTCTTGGCACAGCTGTGAGCATGTCAACCGTACACATTTACTCAGGACTCGTTAATTTAATCTTTACTTTCACTTAGGGCTTCCTCAGCTCTGCACAGGGGTGAGTTGTATAGTTGCCTATTACTCTTTTTCTTTTCATAGTGGGTCTCATCCTGGATGGTGAATTGCTGTCTTAGGCTACAACAAAGTACCAAGAAGTGGGTAGGCTATAAGTAGTGGAAACTTTTTCTTCGACAGCAGGGGAGAGCTGGGAATAGAGCCTGGTTCCCTAAACACCAGCCTAACAGAGGGAAACAACACTCCAACCCCACTACAACCTAGTCCCTCCTAAACATAGCTAAAAGAACAAACATTATCTAAATAATAATAATAATATTAAATCAACTACCTAACTCCTGACATGCAGGTCCCAATGTAAAAACAGAAGGAAAACAACAACAACAAAATAAGACACGTCTCCTCCAAATTCTGCCCATCCTAAAGCAAAGTTCCTCCATAAGACTGACCTAGATGAAATTCCAGACAAAGAATTCAAAAAAAAGCACGATGATAAATCCATTCATAGAAATGAAAGAAGGCATAGGCAAACTCCTGAATGAAACCCCAAAGGCCACAAACAGCTGAATGCAATAAGGAAGTCAATGTAGGATATGAATGGAACCCAGCAAAGACAAGCATCTGGGGGAAAAGGAATCAGTGCTGGGACTGAAAACCCCAGCGAGTGAAATGAGAAGCCCCGTGGAAAGCCAGTGGAGCAGATCATGGGGAGAACAAAATACCAGGGCTCGAAGACAAGATGGAGGAATGGAATATTCATTCAAGGACGGCAATAAAAGGCTTTTAAAATGGGAATGCAAGAGGCGTGGTCTCTGAGATGTCATAAAGAGATGAAATAGGAAACACTGGATAGGAGATAGTGTACAGAGATTTTCTTGAAACCGAAACAGCCCCTCCAGGAGGGAGGAAGAGGCTCATGAGACCTTGGAGGGAAAGGGAAGATCACATACGTGGAGAGCAGAATCTTGGCGTATTCTCAGAGGCCCCTCCAAGCTGTGTGGAAACAGTACACGGCTCTTAAATCCAGGCGCTGACCAGCTGAACCACAGTGAGCAGCAGAGAAGCGTGTCTGTTTGAACCGTCTGTGAGCTGAGCAGAGGCCTCCAGGCTGGTGGGGTTTTCCATGATTTACTTGATTTATTATATTATTACTACTACTAATATTACTATTATCGTGGCAGGAATTGCAAGGCTCTTGCTATGGATAGTGAGATGTGTAACTAGGGCTGAGCCACAGGGGGTCAGAGTCGGGATCCCAAGTTGGAAGTCTAAGAAGGTTCAAGATAGATCCAAGTTGAAAAGCCTTGCCTTGGGGTACAAGAGCTTGGAAGTGGCTTTGCTGAACGCCATGGCTGGAAGTGAATTTATGAAGCAGAGGCTTTGGTGGGCTTGAGCTCTAGACTGGCAGATGAGTCTAGTTCATGAGGTGACCAGACGATCTAAAAGAGATCAAAGAAGGTCAGAGAAGGGCAAAAACAGGTCGGGGGGCGCAGGGGAGGGGCCTGTGCAGGTCACTTGGTAGGCAAACGTGGAAAGGTCTGTGTCAATGGAGTTCCCGAGGGAAAAGAGCCAGCTGCTGGACGCCCCAGACTTCAGTTTAGAATATGAACCGCAAGTTAATCTAAAGTGTTAGAACACAGTGAGGGAGGATGATGGTGGGGATTACAGAGGGACTTGGGGAAATCTGGGGGAGACACAGATCCATGGTGTGCTCCTAATCTCGTCCGCCATGCTGGTCTCAGAGGCAGCAAATCCTGGGGTATGTGCAGTTTGTGGTTGCCGGTTACAGGGCAATAAGGCTGGTCATTACAAAGCGAGTGTGGGCGGGACTACATGTTGGTGCAGAACTGTGTCTTGATGTAATAAGCAAAAGGGAAAGCTCCAGAACGCTGTGCATGGCTTGAGCTCCCATTTTGAAAGAATTTTTTAAAAAATAAACTTTAAAATCCTTAGCTCACTGTGCACTGTTTGCATGCCGGCAGGCTGGGCGCTCATAGGTGACCTTCTGCAATCCTGGCCTGCAGCTTCCGGACCCAAGGGGCTATCACTGCAGCTTCTTACCAAGGTCCCTCAAGTATCTGCCTTATGGTAGCCTTGGGGTGATTCTCAAGTTAAAACCGGAAACAGGAACTGCATCCAGATTGCCAGTTATGGAGTACTCTCACGTTGCCCATGGGGACACCAAAGAACTTCTAGAGGCGTGGGAACCTGCAGGTGCTAGGTGAGGCCCTGGGCTCCCACAGAGCAGCGGAGACGGGGCGGGGCTGCCTAGGGTCGGAGCTGACCCGGGCTTCCACCAATGGGCGGAGCATTCCCTAAGGGGCGGGGCGTGGGCGGGCGTCAGGGTCGGCCTCTAGACGAATTCTGAATTTAAGCGCAGTGGCTGGGGGCGGGGCGGGATTGACAGGGGCGGGGCATCGCTGAGGGGCAGGCACTTCCGGAGGGCGTGGCATTATTGAGGGGCGGGGTGTGGGCGGGCACAAGGCATAGCACAGCCGCTGGGGGTGGGGCGAGGCTTCGCGGGGGCGGGGCTTACAGACTCTGAGCCTCCGGGAGGGCGGGACGTGGGCGGGGTGGGGGCGGGGCCTGAGCCACGGGCCCATTCTGTCCATCACAGCCCAGCTTTGGGCGGCGCTCGAGGGCTCCCACCTGAGAAGCGGGCTGAGTGTGCTCGGCAAGCAGAGTCCTGCGCTGCTTCCCGAGGCCAGGACCTGGGCTGGCTGCAGCTCAGGCGTGTGTTTTGAGGTAACATTTGTGGAGCAGCCTCCCGGAACGGACGGGACGGGGCAGGGCGGGGCGGGGCGAGACGAGCCGCAAAGGCGAGCCCCCGGGGCCGCAGGGCCCCAGAGGGAGAGCGGAACCGAACCGGCTCGGACCCAAGCCTGCCGAGCCGAGCCGAGCCCCCTCCCGAGCCGGCTCTTCCGGCCTTTTGCCGCTACTTGTGTCTTGTGTGGAAGGTTTTTTGGCTAGGGTGGGGTTGTTCCCAAACCGCGTTCCTCCGGCCAGTTAGAATGTAAGATCAATTGCACCGTGCATGTTTAGAGCGGTGCGTTTGCACTCTTGTTTGAACTCAGTTTTAGACTCTAAACTCTGCCCTGGCTTGACGTCGCCTCTGTCCAGGCTGGAAGCAGAGGTTGCAGGAAGATGGGGCAGGATTCTGGGTGCCCAGCTCCCTAAGGGATCCTAAGAGATGACTCAGGTCAAGTTCTGTGCAACTTTTCTGGCATCCTCGCGTCTCAAAAGGGTGTTTTCAATCCAAGTCCGTTTTTGCAAACTCCAGTCTTCAGATACTGCAATTAAAAATGAGTGTATCTATTTTTAAAAATTGAAGTTTCCTTCGTAAGTAAATATATCTTAATACTACAGGGAAGTCTGAACTGTGGGGAAAGATTTGTACAGCTTATAAACAAATGCATGTACTTATGAAGCACCTTAAATTTTCGTGATAGCTCTCCATAGATATTAAGTAAAATGTAATTTTTCAGAGTTGTTTACTGCCTGATATGGAACTTTAGTATACGTTCCAGTGTGATTCCTGGCAAGCACTGCAATATTTCCACAAGTTAGTTTTCCATATGGACAGAAAATAGTTTTAGCATTAATAATTTACTAATAAAATCACTTAATGTAATAATGACTTATGAATAACCTAAGCATAAATTATTATCTGCTCTAATGATGCTTTTGTGGTGTTTTCCAAGATTGAAAGAGAAGGCAGATGGATGCTGGTGAGTATCCCATGGCTGCAATTCCTTCATTTCATTGGTTCAGCCTGCACTGCAACTTGGAAACCACCGTTAGGTAAGAGAGTCTTGAAAAAGAATTGATCCCATTTCTTTTACGTAAAAATAAATAATGGCACCATATATTTAAGTTAGTTTTGTTGTTGTTGGTTTTTTTGTTTGTTTGTATTGTATTGTTTTTGAGACAGGGCTTCTCTGTGTAATAGACTTATCTGTCCTGGAACTCCCTCTGTAGACCAGGCTGGCCTCAAACTCACAGAGATCTGCCTGCCTCTGCCTCCTAAGTGCTGGCATTAAAGGCATGCACCACCAACGCTTGGCTAAGTTAGAATTTTTATATAAAACATTTCCAAGAAAAAATTCAAGGGGAATACAATACAAGTGGCATTCTGTATTCATAAATCATTTGGTGTAACTCACATTATTTAACTAAATAATGAATAAATGATCAGAAAAGTACTTCCAAGTAATACAAATCAATTTATCTTACATTCTAAAATATACTGGCACACATGCCTGCAATGTTGTGCTATATAAAGTTTATAATTGGGAGTTTTATGCTTTATTAATTTATGTGAGGGGAAAGGAAATTAACATGTATTTTACTAAATTATTGTAATGTGAATATAATATGTCTTGAGAAGTTCACTTGCCTGTGCACCATGTGTATGCCTGGTGCATGTGTGGGTGCTGGGAATCTGACCTGGGTCCTCTGTAAGAGTAGCAAGGGATTGTAAACACGGAGCTATCTTTCTAGCTCTTAATAACATTAATTCTTTACGATGATTCAGTGAACCGGCAATATAATGAATAGATGAAATTAAACAATTCTTGTAATGTACAATCAAGCTTGCTATATAAACACAATCGCTCTGTGCAGAGAACTGTGAGGTAGTTGTGCAAAACCTGGCATTTGGATAAAGTCTGTATTTGTCGTCACTGCTCTTCTAGTGAAGTTTTATATTAGGGATAGCCTTTCTTTTTGCTTCCTTTCTTTCCTTTTTTGTTTTTGTTTTTGTTTGTTTTTTGAGACAGGATTTCTCTGTGTAGCCTTGGCTGTCCTAGAACTCACTCTGTAGACCATGCTGGCCTCAGACTCACATAGATCCATCTGCTCTGCCTCCCAATACTGGGATTAAAGGCCTGGGCCACCATCAACCAGCCAAAGTTTTAACTGTTTTATAGGCTACTGAGACAGTTATAGTCATGCTGTTTTGGATGTCTTCTGCCTCTGAGTTTAGAATCTAGCCCCTACACCTACACACCTACACACACACACACACACACACACACACACACACACACACACACACACACGGGGAGGGGGAGGCGTTTCTAAAGGAGCGAGCAGTAAAGAGTGCAACTGTAGGCTGTGCTCTGAATGGTTGCCCTGTGTTGCTTGGCAGGCTCAGATGGAGATGGACAGAGCAGCTCCTTCTTTGTTACAAGTTGGCAAGGGTTTCAAGGGTTTTGTTTTCCATTGCGTTTTCTAAGCCCTAAAATGACTTTCTTTTTTTTCAGTGATTTTATAGATCAGTCCTGCTTCTGGGATTCTACTTTACGTTGTGGTTAAGAAATGTTTCGCATCACTCAGACCGAATCACAAGACAAATATACTTACACTATAAATAAATATTTCAGTAGATTTGCAGGTATGTTCAAAACTGATACTGAACTTGTAATATCTGTTCCTGATATTGATGTGTGAAAGGAGGGTTAGTTCAAAATCATTTTTACCATTGTAAAACCTCTCAAGTAATATTCTGTTTAATAATTTGGATTCTTACATAAAACGTGCAGAGGTTACAGATAATTTCTCACATGTATCGCTATATCTGGGCTTCAGAGTGTTAGAGCTTTGTGGTGTCCCAAGTAGTTAATGCCTGGAGATTCTTTCTGGGGAGAATAATGTTCATCCCTGTGCTCCTTAATACTGACCGCAGAGGAGCAGATTGTACTCATGCAGATACTCTGTCTGCTGTGTCCACATGTCCCAGAATTCTTATGTTCAGTCCATTGAGTCATTTGGTTTTCTTCTAGAACCGTGGCTTGTGAAATGAAAGCAGTTCAGAGAAACACAAGTTAGCACAGCTGCATTTCTCGCGTGTGCACGGCACACACTCATATATAAAGTGGTCCACGCCTCACAGCAGCTCCATGAGTGCCCTGATCCCTGCCTTGTGGATGAGAGACCAGGCTTAGAGTCACGTGGTCAGCACACGAGACTCTTCGCCACGGATGCCCTTAGTGTAGTTGTACTGTCTCCCAGATCCCACGGATTCAGCAGAATTTCCGTGTGCTGTTTCCTTTGTAGGATATAATAAGATACAGGGGGTGTATATGCTGCTTTAATGCCTCCTCTTAGAGGCCCCCCAGGCGCTTCTTCCACACACAAGAGCAGTCACGAGCAGTTAGTTCTCTTTTTCCTCTCATGCTGCTTGTCCCCCCCCCCCCAGCCAAGTCATTTACCACTGCTTTCAACCATTGGTCATGGCTGCCAGGGCGGGTTAACAGGTGACCTGTGTCCTCAGCACAAAGCAGCACTTACCAAAGCAAGGAAGTGGACATTACTGTTAGAGGTGTGTCCGTGGGAGTATTGTCCATCTCTAGTATTATTCTACACAGTTAGAGGTGTGTCCATGGGAGTATATCCGTCTCTAGTATTATTCTACACAGTTAGAAGTGTGTCCGTGGGAGTATTGTCCGTCTCTAGTATTATCCTACACAGTTAGAGGTGTGTCCATGGGAGTATTATCCGTCTCTAGTATTATTCTACACAGTTAGAGGTGTGTCCGTGGGAGTATTGTCCGTCTCTAGTATTATTCTACACAGTTAGAGGTGTGTCCGTGGGAGTATTGTCCATCTCTAGTATTATTCTACACAGTTAGAGGTGTGTCCATGGGAGTATTATCCGTCTCTAGTATTATTCTACACAGTTAGAGGTGTGTCCGTGGGAGTATATCCGTCTCTAGTATTATTCTACACAGTTAGAAGTGTGTCCGTGGGAGTATTGTCCGTCTCTAGTATTATCCTACACAGTTAGAGGTGTGTCCATGGGAGTATTATCCGTCTCTAGTATTATTCTACACAGTTAGAGGTGTGTCCATGGGAGTATTATCCATCTCTAGTATTATCCTACACAGTTAGTGCGTAGATGTTTCTGGAACAGTGGGAAGGAAACAAACAGCGTCTTCTGGTGCTTTCAGAATGAAGAGGAACAATTTCTCTGCTGTGAATAAAGCTGTCCCGACTTCGCCAGTAGTGAAGCAGCCCAAGCGCGGGCTCTGCACGTCTCTCACGCAGACTCACATGCTCTCTGTTCTCCTGGACTGGGGGACGTTACCTCACCACGTGATATTACACATTTTCCAGTATCTCCCGTTAATAGACCGAGCCCGGGCATCTTCCGTGTGTAGGAGGTGGAATGAAGTGTTTCACATCCCTGATCTTTGGAGAAAGTTTGAGTTTGAGCTGAACCAGTCAGCCACCTCCTATTTCAAGTCCACGCACCCTGACCTCATCCAGCAGATCATCAAGAAGCACGCTGCACATCTGCAGTACGTCAGCTTTAAGGTAGGAAGCCGCTCACCCGGCAAACCCTTGTGTGTGTGGGTCCTTACCTGGAGGCACTCGGTAAACACTCCAGGACACTGTTACCCCACATCGCTTTCTGGTTTGTCTCTAGTGATTGCACAGACTGAAATAGAGAACATGGGCTGTAAGTAAATGACCTGAAGTCCACTTTCCTCATTTGGATATTATTATCAATACCCAGGTAATTATAGAGGCCTGAAAGCATGAAGTGCTGCAGAGTTACTCTGCAATATCCCTGTTTCTCCCTTTGGAAGCTCAGACATTTCATATAAACACAGCCATTTATGCAGATGAAAGAGGCCAGCAAAACTCACTTACTGAATCCCACTAAATAATTGCATTTCCAGTGTCTCTGATCAATTGCCTCCAGGACATTCAGATGAGAATTGTCTTTACAGGTTGATAGTAGTGCTGAGTCAGCAGAGGCTGCCTGCGATATCCTCTCTCAGCTGGTAAACTGTTCTATCCAGACCTTGGGACTGATTTCCACAGCCAAACCGAGTTTTATGAATGTGCCAAAGGTAAGAATGTGGTGCCTTTTGTGAGATATGGTAAACTTCTTTTAAAACAGTGTTTGTGTTCATATGTGTGCAGGTGCTCATATGAGTGCGTGCATGTGACTGCCAGAGGGCAACTCCCCGTCCCCAGCCCCAAACACCATCCATCCATCCATCCATGAGACTGGGTTTCTCATTGGCTTAGAGTTCACCAATTAGGCTAGACTGGCTGGCCAAGTAGCCCCAGGGGTCTGCCTGTCAGTTAAATTTCAGTGCTGGATAATCAAAGAGGTGGAGTTTTGTCTTTGTAGGAACCACTGTCTTCAAGCCTCACCTGAGTGTCCTCAGCTCCTCTGAGATGTCTTCTCAAGCGGGTCACTCCCTGCTCGTGCTCCTTAGTTTAGGAAATACTCTGTCAAAAGCAGTGCAAGGGAGAAATGGCCTGCCTGGCAGTCCAGGGCACCGTCCATCGTGGTCAGGAAGCCAAGGAGCAGGAGCTTGAGGCATCCGTTCCGTGGCAACCGTTGTCAGGCAGCAGGGAAGGCCGGATGCCCACTGCTGCTCTTCAGTGCCCATTGCCATTCATACAGTCCAGGAGCTCAAACAGGGAGAGGTAGTCCTGGGACAGCGAGTTGGCTTGGTGGTAAAGGTGCCTCCCATCGAGTCTAAGAAGTCGAGTTTGACCCCCAGGACCCATATGGTGGCAGCAATTTGTTCTCTGACCTCCACACATGGGCAGTGAGTAGCATGTGTGTTTGCACGAGCATACACACGTAAGTAAGTGACTAAATAAACAATGACTGTGATTGTCTCCAAAGGCTCCAAGGTGATTCTAGGTCTGTCAAGTTGACAACTCACACTAACCATAACGCCTACAATATTTTATCTTCTTTATGTTTGTTAGCACTCAAAGCCATCTTAATGATGAACTTGGCCTGTTCATTGTCTTCTCCTCACACTCAAGCTAATTATTTGAAGGATGGGAGTCTATCTCCATTTTGTTCACCACCAGGGAGCCAGGTTAAAGTAGTATTCGGTTTGTAACTAGCACTACATTATTGGCTGTGGATAAAAACCACCTCACAGAGAGTTCCTACAGAAGCGGGGTAGGGATAACAGCATCTTCACTCCTACAAACTGGGTCATGGCTCTCTTATCCAGGCTTTCTGCTAGCCTGTTATCTTTTTAAAAGATAGGCTGGAAAAAATTGGGTCATTTGGGGATTAAGAATAATATAAGTAATCAGATGAAAATTGACTAGTGCTAAATAGTTACTTCCTTGTTTATAAACCACAGACCCAGACTGACCTGATGGTCTTAGGTTCTAAAGCCAAGGCTGGTGGAGCCCTTTAGCCTTCAGGGCGAGCATCAGCCTCGTTTGCTGATGCGGTTACCCAGCAGTTGCCTGGGTAGGTAGCCTGCTCTGTCTAGGTGAATTCTGTGGCCTCTGGACAGCTTGAGAAGCTCTCGAGGATCCTGTCTTATTTTTCCCACTTATAAACCAGTGGAAAACTAGATAAAATTATGGGATTTCAAAGAAGATAGCAAATGTGGTTATGATGAAACATGTACTGTGCCACCTAAGTGTCCTTTAAGACTAAAACAACGAATTCAGAGTTGATTAAAGAGGGGAAAAACCAACTTTATGTGTCTTGAGAAAGAGATATCGTTCCATAGTAATTTAGTAGCACACTAGCTCCCTACTATGTGAAAACCACTTTTAGTTAGTATGAGACACCATGTTTATACATTTATAACCAATGTGTTCATCCTAACAGGACCAGTAGAACCTTTAGTACAACCAAGACTGATTTTATGGAAGGAAAAAGGATCTTGGATTTGCTTTCCACACTTCCTGACTTTTCCAGAAACAATGGATCTGAAAATGTGTGGAATTCTACCTACATTGAGAACAAATTATTAATAAGCTTTATTTTGTAATTCTTCAACAAATGTAACTATTTACTTTGTTCAAATCTGCTAGAAAAAGAGCATGTTATTATAACATCCCTTCATGCATCCTTTTAAGAAATAGGTATTGACTATGTTCCAGATACTATGTTAAGTCTGGAAATAAAGAGGTGAATGGAACAGGGAAAAATGTATTTTTCCTAGCAAGAGGTGGGAAGAAACCACAGAATTCTAGGCTTTGGGGGCTATGCAGTTCTGCCTCAAACCTTCGGCTCCATTGTTGCAGGGGAGGAGCCAACACTGACCGTGCAAAAGGAAAGCACATGGCCGTGGGCCATGCAGCCTTTATCTGTGAGCATGGACGACTGTTCCATGTAGCTCCCATGCCACATCCTTTAATAATGTAAAAGATGTACTCTTCACTCATGAAATAGAGAGAAACAGACCTTGCATTGAGGGTGGCTGATGGTCCATAGTTAGCTAATCTCTATTCTAGAAAATAAGTAAATTATACGAGTTATCAAATTCTTGAGGCTGAAAATAGCTAAGACATCCTTTACAAGATACTTGGGACTTCTCCCTTTCTCATCATTCCATTTCCAGTGGGGCTTTGGAACTTTTTGTTACAGGACTGGAGATGCACATTAACAAAGTCTACACCATGGACAAGTTAGTTTTTCCCCCCAGAGAGTCAAAGTTGGTTAGTTTTCTGTATGCATATCATTCAAGGTAATGTAACACATGGATAGATTTAGAAATGGAAGTCATATAATTATCTCAATAGACACACAAGAGGCCTTTGACAGAGTTCAACACACCAACATTCCTCTAAAATTAGATGAGAATGTCCACTCTAACCACTCTTGTTCAATATAATGCATGAAATCTTAGCTGAAGCACTAACGTTAGAAACATAAATAAAAGAGATACAGCTGGAAAGGAAGAAGACAGTTCCTCATACTTGTAGACATGATTCTATACTTACAAGATCCCAAAGAGTTCATCAGAGAACCTTAAACTCCAGTAAAGTAACAACATACAAAATCACCATAGAAAAGTCAGTAGCCTTTCTATATATTGATAATGAAACTGCCAAGAAAGAAGAAATCCCATTTACAATACCCCCCAAAGACGCCCAAAACTCAGAATTAAACCTAGTTGTGGAGCAAGGTGGTAGAAGACCTCTGCAATGAAACCTTAAGACATCAAAGAAAGACATTTAAGAAGACACTAGAAGATGGGAAAACCTCTTGACGGAATTAATAGGGTATAGAAAATGGCTACATTAGCCAAAGTGGTTTGTGCAGGTTCAACCATCTCCATCGACACTGCATTGTTTTTCTTCACAGAAATAGAGGGTTCTGCTGTTTATAGGGAAGCACGAGTAAGCTTTCATTGCCACAGCTGTTCTCATCAGAAAGTGCAAGTCCGAGAGCTGCTCTCAAGTTGCATTGCAGAACCAAAGTAACAGAAACTTGGCTTGGAGCAGTCACACAGACAGACAGACAAACAGACAGACAAGTCAGTGTGATAGAATATAAAATCTAAAAATGAGATCAAGCCAGTACAGTTACCTCAAAAACATACATTGGAAAAAAATGTTGGTTGGAAAACTGGATATCCACATGTAGAGGAATGAAACTAGTTCCTTATCTCTTACTCCATACAGAAATCATTGGGATAGAATGTAAGACCTAAAACTGAGCCCAAACAGCGACAGCCACCTCATCCCCTACAAAAGACAAGGACGCACATTAGAAGAATTGTTATATGAACCAGATATGCTACTGGTAAACTGCCTGAAGTCATAGTCTACGTCAACTGCACTGAGATGCATGCATAGTCATGTTTATTGATTTACTGTTCACAATAGCTGAGAAGTAGGACCAGCCTAGATGCTCATCAACAGGCAAAATGAATAGAGCATAGACATACACAATAGAATTTTTTTTCACCTTGAAGAAATGTGAAATCCTGGAATTTTCAGAAAAGTGTATGGAAGTAGAGATCATTATGTTAACTGAAATAGATCAGACTCAGGAAAACAAATACTACATGTTTTCTCTCTTTTGCAGACTGTATGTGTGTCCAGAAAGAGAGGGAAGGAGAGACAGAGAGACAGAGAGACAGAGAGAGACAGAGAGAGACAGAGACAGAGACACAGAGAGAGAGAGAGAGAGAGAGAGAGAGAGAGAGAGAGAGAGAGAGAGAGAGAGAGAGAGAGAGAGAGAGAGAATATGTGTGATGAGAGCCGGAGTAGTATTTGAAGGAACGAGGGTACCAGAGACCGATGAGTCAAGAGGATAGGGAATGGCAGAGAGAAGGGATGAATGAGAAGAAGGCATAGAGGCATGTGCATGAAAATGCCGTAATGAAACCCATACCTTGTATACTAACTTGTAATTTTATTCAAAAAAGAAATAGGAATGTCTTCTACTGGCTAGTGATAGCATGAAAATATAATATATTCATTGTTTTACTGTAGTTTTAGCATTTAACAATCTATTTTTAGTGCTACTTGATTGAAACTGTGAGTTTTAAATATTTTCATAATTTTTTTTCTTATTGCCATGCAAGTCTCATTTTGTGTCAGCACTTACAGTTGTGTTTGTCAACTCAAAATCATTATCATCAATTAAAATTGAAGATACGCCAGTGGACGATCCCTCACTGAAGATTCTTGTGGCCAACAATAGTGACACTCTGCGACTCCTAAAAATGAGTAGCTGTCCTCATGTTTCATCTGATGGTAGGTTGTATTTTTATATATAAATTGATTGTTAGTTTTTTATTATAGTAACAATAGATTACTTATTGAAGAATACATGCCTCCTAACAATTTATTAATTTTATTCAAAAGCAATCTTTTTTTTTTTTGGTTTTATGAGACAGGGTTTCTCTGTATTGTTTTGGAGGCTGTTAGTCCAGCCCAGCCTCAAATTCACAGAGATCCGCCTGCCTCTGCCTCCCGAGTGCTGGGATTAAAGGCGTGCGACACCACCGCCCAGCTCAAAAGCAATCTTAATCTTCAAATTCGATGTAAGTTGCTTCTTCAGAGAATATTTTTTCCTTGGACGCTTGTTAATCTTTTCTAAACTGGTGGCCTATTTTCGACAGTTCATACATGTATGTAATATATTATGATTATGTTCACTCCTGTTACCTTCTTTTGTTCCTCCCCTGTCAGAGCCCCTTCTTCCCAGCCAGCTCCTCTTCTAACTAATTTCTTCTGCATTTTTTTGACTCACTGAGTTTAATGGGATTGCTTTCATGACTATGGGTAGGGATTATTGGAGCATGGGCACTTTACCAGTGGCAACACCACTGAAGAAAACCCCCCCCCCCACAGACAATAGCGCCTCACAGCGGGGTGGGACCTCATGGCCCCTCCCCCACCCGTGATACCGTGTTGTCGGGTACCCTCAGCCGCTGTGGGCTCACGAGGGCGGCAAACAGTGCCATGCCCAGAGACGGCAGTCCACCGAATTCTTTCCTGCCCTCTGTCTCTAGCATCCTCCCTACCCATCTCTCCTGCAGTGTTTCCCTGCATCTTGGCCATGGCGTTACGTAGATGCTCTCTTCAGGGCCGAGCAGCTCAAAAGTCCCGCTTATATTGTCAGGCCTTTTACCAGTTAACGTCTCTGCAGTAACCACTGTCCACTAACAGTGGGTCTTCTCTGGCTAAGCAGCGCTAGCCCATGAGCATAAGACAGGTGTTCGGAGGTCAGTTTGATGGGCACAGCATGCCTCTCTAGCAGAATGACAGAAGAAGCTTCCATGCCACGTTAGATCAGGGTTACAGAACCAAGCATGGACTCTCTTCTGTGGAGTGGGCCTCACATTCACTTAGAAAGTGTTATTCCCATAACATTGCACTAGGGGGCACTTTCTGCCCACTGGAGGTTGGCAGCGCTCAGGATCCATAGCTGAGTGCGACTCCCCCAGTGGCCTCCGTAGCACTTTGAAGATCGGCATTAAATATACTAACACAGGAGTACACATGAAAATTCCACGATAGAACCATTGCTTTGGGGTGTTAATTAAAAAATTAACTAGAAAGAAGAAATTATAGACCAGTCTTCCTAATGAACATCCACGCCAAGAATCTCAAGCGAATACTTATAAACCATGGTCATTAAGGAACCCACTGTGCTGGCAGAAGGACCTGAGTTTGGAGCCCCAGAGCGCACGTGGGAGCGTTTCTGCAATCTTAGTGCTCCTCCAACAAGGTGGGAGGCAGGGATGAAGAATTCCCAGAAGCTCCTGGGCCAGCTGACCTGGTGTCTACAGTGGCATGATACCATGTCTCCAGAAAGTTGGAGGGTGACTACCCGTTCCTGATTTCTACACATGTGCCACAGCCTGTGTGCACCAACACTTCAAAAGAGAAACATGCGTGCATGTGTAAATGCAGGTGTGTGCGTGTGAGTTTAAATGTAAACTCTGAGTATGTTAGTGTGAGATTCATCCTTCTGAATCTGCCTTATTTTGTTTAACATAGTAATTTCCAGTTGACTCGTTTTGCTACAAATGTCACAATTTCATTCTTGTGACTCAGTAGAAATTGTATGAAGCACATTTTCTGTACCCACGCTTCTGCTGGTGGACACCAAGTATCTCTGGTGTGCTGAATTACCCTCTGGGTGTACCTGAGATGGGCTGAGCGAGTCTTAAGTGTGGCTCCAGTTTCAGATCTTCAGAAACCTCCACACTGACTTCCGTAGTACCTGCAACGGTTCACATGTCCCTCCCCTCCGCAGTGTGCAAGGGTTTGGGGGGGAATTTTAATTATTATATGTGTGTGTGTGCAGCCATTTTCTGAAACATCATTCGCTATCTGTTGTAGTAAACTAACTAACTGATAGAAAATTCAAATTTGTGAAATCTGTTTTAGTACCGGTGTGATTCTCTGTTCTTACGGATTCCCTAATTTTCCCACAGGAATCCTGTGTGTGGCAGACCACTGCCAGGGCCTCCGAGAACTGGCATTAAATTACTACATTCTGAGTGATGAGCTTCTCCTTGCGCTGTCAAGCGAGACTCACGTGAACCTCGAACATCTGCGAATAGACATTGTCAGTGAGAATCCTGGACAGATCAAGTTTCACTCTATTAAAAAGCACAGTTGGGACGCGCTGATTAAGCACTCTCCGGGAGTTAACGTTGTCATGTACTTCTTTCTGTATGAGGAGGAGTTTGAGGCATTCTTCAAAGAAGAAACCCCGGTCACTCACCTCTACTTCGGGCGTTCAGTAAGCAGAACCATTCTAGGCCGTATAGGTCTCAACTGCCCGCGGCTGATTGAGTTAGTGGTGTGTGCAAATGGCCTTCAGCCCCTGGACAGTGAGCTTATCCGCATTGCTGAACACTGTAAAAACCTGACAGCCTTGGGCCTGAGCGAGTGTGAGGTCAGCTGCAGTGCGTTCATTGAGTTTGTGAGACTCTGTGGCAGAAGGCTCACCCAGCTGTCTATCATGGAGGAGGTCCTGGTCCCTGATGACAATTACACCCCAGACGAAGTTCATGCTGAAGTCTCTAAGCACCTGGGAAGAGTGTGGTTCCCCGATGTGATGCCTGTCTGGTAACCAGCTACCAAAGGTTCTGAGCTTTCTGTTAGTGATTAGCGATTGTCTGCTCTGCAAATGTAAATTTGGAGATGAACTGCTGAACATCTTAGGTTAAATATTTGCTTTTGCCAACTATCTTAGTTGATTGCTGCAGAATCATTTAAAAACAATATAACAGAGCTGGGCGTTGGTGGCGCACGCCTTTAATCCCAGCACTTGTGAGGCGGAGGCAGTCGGATCTCTGTGAGTTCGAGGCCGGCCTGGTCTACAGAGTGAGTTCCAGGACAGCCTCCAAAACAAGACAGAGAAACCCTGTCTCAAAAACCAATATATATAAAATTTGAATAGTCAGAAATCTTTGTCTATAGCACACAAACACTGTGTGTTAATTATATGGTTGATAGGGTAGACTATAGATGTCTAAGATTGAGATAGATTTCTCAACCTTCTTTGGAGGCATATTTTAGCTTACTAAGAAATTTATATTAAATTTATAATTAACATGTAATTATAATTAACAGTATTAGACCCTTTAAGTTATGTATTTTTATGTTACAACCTCATGTTATTTTAATTTCATTTTGGTACCAATACAGGTTTTACAAAATACATACTGTTAAAAAAAATTAAGGTACCATTATAGAAGTGTGTATCATTGTACTCACAAGATTTTTAGCATCTTGTGTTTCAGTAAACAACTTTGATTTCTAGAGTGCTTTAAATTCATTTTTAGATTAACTTGGAAGGTAACCGGCATTGTGTTAAAATACAGTAATACTAATTCATTTTGTAAAGCTACAGCAAATAGAAAACCCTGTGATTACTAGTTGAACACACAGTGTGGGTGAAGAGGTAGGCTTTCCGGGATGTGTTTGGAAGCCAGTGTTTATGGACCTGCTGCTGTTGATCTGGGACTGTCCCATGTGCTTTGCACGTGTGGCCCTGTCATTTAATTATTAACCCTGGTGACACCCTTCACCAGCTCGTCCTTAGGATGGAGATGTGGTCTTAGAGGTTGCCTGGGTGCTGGGCTCCTTTTGCAGCCCCCATGCCTGCCCTTTGTGCCCTTCCCTCCTTCTCTGTCCCTCCAGCTGCCCTGCCCTCTGCTGCCACAGGCACCTGCCCCCTCTCTACCCGTCCCTGTGTGCTCCCACACACCTTTCCCTGCGGCACCTCCTAGGGGAAGTCGTCTTTGATAACACCTTCGCAGCCCCTTCGCTATACTGTAAACTCCACCAATACAAGATCGTGTGTGTGTGTGTGTGTGTGTGTGTGTGTGTATGTGTGTGTGTTGGAGAGTAGACTGTCCCTTACTCATACACTCTCATATAAGTATTTTAGAGAGTAGACTGTCCCTCAAACGCCCTCATGTAAGTATTTTGGAGAGTAAACCGTCCCTTACTCTTACGCTCTCATGTAAGTATTTTGGAGAGCAGACCGTCCCTCACTCATATGCTCCCATGGCGAGCCCTGTAAAACAGGCGTCTTGCATTCACTTGTGTGTTCGTCACTCTTAGAGCTGTGCGCTGCAATACCGAGTCCTGGGTAGCAACAGAAATAAAGCCTTTCTCGGGGACAGAGCTCTTAGCATTGCAGGTCATGTCGTTTATACCTTAAGATCCCAAAAAAAGATGTGCCGTAATTTAAAACTTGAAACCTAGTCATGGCAACAGCGCTGCAGGCGTCAGAGAAATGGCTGAACTGCAGTGGAGCTGGGGCCAGGGATGGGAAGACTGAGTAGAGACACCTGTGTTATCTCACTTGCTGCTGCCGCCGCCTTAGTGAGATAACGCTATGCACGCCCGCACGGCCAGGTGAGCGAGCATCACTGATGTTTGCCCTAGAGGCAAAGGCGGCAGATCAGAGAAGGGATGGCTCCCCCTGCAGCCTGGTTGCACCAGAAAAGGAAGATCGCTTTAAGGAGCATGAGATGTTCTGCCCTCAGGAGAGCTTTTCAGTGGCTCCCGTGGGAACCTCATGAATTAAACACCGTAAAATGTCACGGTGATCTAAGGTGATCCGTGTCCATTCCACTGGTCAGCAGCCTCCTGGGTTAGTGGAAGCAGGGGCATAACACTTTTAAGATGGCCGAGGAAAGAAAATGCTGTGTCTCTAATGCCTCCCACAGTGGGAGCATCTCCTTGTCCTTTGGAAGTCTGTGAGTTCTGCTGTTCTTAGGATCAGAGGACCTGGCTACATGAGTGCGTTTCTTACAGATGGGTCACAAACTTCGATCTTTGAAAGCATTTCCGTCCTGTTTGCATGCCTGTTCGTGTTTAAAACATTTGTGTTTGTTGGCGGATTCTGGGAACTTTCAGATAATCTTGTGGAGAGTGGAGAGATGGACCCTTCTGTCACCGAACTGAAGAAACAGAAAGACTGGATCGTCACTCTTCTCTTCCTTTTCCTTCCTGTGATCCCTTCAGGCTTCGTTTGCTTTGTGCACAGTGTCGGGGGATGAGTTAGGAGGATAGGTAGTGCATCTGCCTTGCTCTTGTCCCCCTAAGTGTGACAAACGTCCTCTTAACAGATGGAAGAGTTCACCCTTCTGTGGACCTAACCTCTTAAATTGGCTGTTGATCTCACTGTCCCATTAAATTAATTTTCTACCACTAACTGAAAGCATTTTCAAAATAAAAATCCTTTTATTCCTATTAACTTATAGTTATTGAACCTGGCAACATCTGGCACCACAGTTTTGAGGTGTATAGTGTAATAACTTTTGTGAAGTTATTACAGTGTCCTCTTTGTCATTTGAACTTTGAATCAGAACCTACGAGCAGCTCTAGTGGGCACTAGAGGGCGCTGGATCCTAGTCCTTCCTAAGAGAGATGTTCTTTGGAGCTGGCATTTCTGTAAAATGCACGGCAGGCAGAGGGCAGTGCTCCTGAGCTGCCCAGTGGACATCTTCCTTCCCTGTCCCACACAACCAGCTTGGTTTTGGAAATGCTAGCCATGTCTAACTGTGTCACCTCCTAGACACCATTCCAGAATGTTGTAGTTGGAAGGCTGAACACAAACTTCACTGTTTCTGTTGCCTTCAGAGCCTTCTATGTCTTCAGCAGGAGCGCGATGCTTATCTATTAAAAGCAAATGTAATCCCTTGAAACAATACAGAGTTATTGGACGCCAATGATCATTACAGAAGGCCATCAGAATGGATACTAATGCATATTTTGTAATCACGTTTAATATTGTTTTGGAAGGGTGTGATTTGGAACTGGGTTTTTTTTTTTCTGTGTAGCTTTGGAGTCTTCCTGGAACTTGCTCTGTAGACCAGGCTGGCCTTGAACTCACAGAGTGCTGGGATTAAAGGTGTGCGCCACAACATCCTGACAAAAACTTAAACTTGTTTTGTTTTTTTTTGGTTTTTTAAGATTTATTTGTTATGTATACAGTGTTCTGCCTGCATGTATCCCTGCAGGCCAGAAGAGGGCACCAGATCTCATTATAGATGGCTGTGAGCCACCATGTTGTTCCTGGGAATTTAACTCAGGACCTCTGGAAGAACAGCCAGTGCTCTTAACCTCTGCACCACCTCTCCAACCCCTATAACTTAAATCTTAACATATTGTGACACGATGGATGATGATAGGAGCCTACATATAAAAAAAGTGCTGGCTACAGCATGGGTCCTTACATGTCTGAGAAGCATCACTAACCCTTGTAGCCACCTACACACACGTATGTCCAGTTGCCTCTGTGACACACCATTGGTGCATAAATTGTCATGAATCAACCTTGGCTGCACAACTGTACCACTGCAGTGACTGAAATGTGTGTGGCTCTGCTCTCCCTAACCCTGGGCCGATTAAGCCATTATTTCTCTCCTCCCTTCCTCCATCCACCCCTCCCTCTCTCCTTCCCTCTCTCCCTCCCTCCCTCCCCCTCTCCTTCCTTTCTTTAAGTATCACCTATATGTGTTCTTGGAAATGTTGTTTTATTTGTTTTGACCTTCTAAAAAAGAGCCTCTCACATCGAGTGATTTTTTTTTTTACCTTTCTTAAATTACTGTTCCTCTCTGCCATTTGTGTATCTTGTTATATTCAACTGAGCTTCATTTATTATGACTTCTGTATGACATTTGTCACTGTGATTATGACCTGTTCTTTAAAATCTATGGCTGTCAATGGGCATTTGAATTGTCCCTGGTTTCACTATGACAAGTAGTGTTGTCGTGAACATTATTATGCAAGAAATACAAATGGAGTTATTTCTCGAGTAATAAAGGTCAATTAATTGTCTTTTCCTTTAACATAGCTACGAATAAGAATGGAGTCATTCTCCCTTTCAAAAGGACTTAAGCAAAATTCCATGCGTGAAGTTTCCAGATGGTTACTCCAGTTTAGTCGTTCCTTATGGACCAGGTTAGAGCCAGAACTTACCTGTTGCTTTGCACATTTCCTTGGTTTTGCTTCCTCCTAGCGCTTCCTGTCAGAGCATTGAGAAGGAATGGCGTGTAGCGTGTTGGGTAACTGTATGCACACTGATGTGTGGCGCCGCTGGGTGAGACCGCCTGACCTAGTTCCCAGGGCATGTCAGCTAAGGGTAGTTCTCTGTCTCATCCTCACATTCCCCATGTGAGCAGCCTCTCTGAGACCTAGCCTTCTTGAGGATGCCACCGTCACGTCCTAGGAGACCTGTCCCTCTTGTGGAGCATGAAAGAGTGTGGATAGAAAGATCTTAGCCCTGTGAACAGCTGCCCCTCCAGCTAGCCTGACAAGGTAAGGGCCTCGCTGAGAACTTATCATCTTAAGAAGCCTCCGTTCTCTCAGCTCACATTTATAAAGGGCGTGTACCAAACCTTGACAGTAACTCATGATTCTCACGTCATAGAAAGACCTTCAAACCCTTTGTCCCTTTCGTGCCGAGAAGTAGCTAGTTCAGAGGTCTCAATAGTCTGGACATGTTGGGACTCATTTGTTTATTTCAGTCATCAGGACTTAAAAGCCTACAATACAAAATACCCTGGTCCTCCGGGTGGCAGGAAGGTTAGCATGATGATGAGTTGGGATTGGAAATGGGGGTTTGGCTTTTGATCGTGCTTCTGTTGGAACACACATTTCTCCGGGAGCACACGAGTTCCATTCTGAACGGAACACGGTGCTCTTGGTCTCCACTTACAGGTGTGCGGTGGGATCACTGGAGTCACAGTTTTCGATGTGCACGTGCGACTGTATGCCAGGGTAAACTTTCTGCAAGGGCAGCAGGGTGCCCAGCTTCTCCCCCTTTTTGATAGAACCTTTATACTTTATTGGCTTAATGTAGAACATTTTAACACAGAAACCTAGAAGAAAATGAAGAAATTACTTGGACACCTGCAACTTTGGGTTGGAAATTTAAAACACAGGGCTGGGGAGACAAGTTAGTTGGTGAAGTGCTTGCCTTCTAGGCATGGGGAATTGGGTTTTACTTAGAACCCATGAAAAAAAGCTGAGAGTTTGGCACATTCTTGTAATCTCTGCCCTGGAGAGGTAGAAACAGATGTGTATTCCTGATGTTGTGCTCCCGGGTCAGCCAGCTTAGCCTACTGGCCAAGCACACACACACACAGTCATGCACAACATGTACACACACACATACACACACACTCATGCACAGCATTACACACACAGCACGCACTCCTACACACACAGCACGCATGTTTGCACACACACACTCATACACAACCTGTATGCACACACATACACACACAGCATGCATGCACACACTCATGCACAATGTGCACACATACACTCATGCACATTGTGTACACAGCACACACGTACACATACACACACACTCATGCACAATGTGTACACACACAGCACTCACGTACACATACACACATATATATACACACACACAGAACGCACACATGCACACACAGCATGCACACATAGACACACACACACACACACACACACAAACACACAGTGTCCCAGATCTATATTCTTACCTCTTCCAGATAGTCGAATGCCATTATTGATGGCATTTTTGTTCCTGTAGGGTTTCTCCTGACCCACTATCATCCCAGTGAATGGTGCATATACAACAGATCCATCTGAGCACAGGACATCCACTCCTGGGTGATGCCTCTGGGTTCTAGAATATAAATAAGAGCCATCAGACTGAGGGAAACTTGTTCTTCATGCACAGCTCCTTGCCTTGGACATCAAAACCTGAAACAGCCAGAAGACATTGCAATGCCTGAGATATTTACTCTGTTTAGTCCAGTTTTAACCTCTCTGCCTGTGAGTACTCATGGCCGTATTGTAAAGAGTAAATAACTTCAAATCATATTTGCTTAAATATTATATGATGTTTTGAAAAAAATGAGACTGGGTGTACAAATATATTTCATAGCTGTCTGAATCTTGGCCCCTTCAAGGCCTTTTGTTTTTCAGTGTTGGGAAGCAAACCCAGGGCCCTGTGGGTACTAAGCAAGTACTGTACCACTTAGCCATACAGCCTACTCTTCTCAAAAACCAGTTAAAAACAGTCACTGTCTTTGGGAATCTATTGTATGAACATCATGTGTTTCCCGGGTCTTGTTTTTCTCTCACAGCAAAGGCACTTGTAAACTTCATTGGGTGTGAGTACTGCTTTAACACAGGGAACCTCCCAGGCTTGCCAAACCACGTGGAGCACAAGCAAAACCATCGCATACAGCGAGGCATCTTGAGTTTGTCTCTACAACCTGGCAGTTGTGGCTTCCCACAGCTTTCACTGCCTGTTCCTCCCAGGCCTTCTCCCTTCTAGCGAGTTCTAGCGAGCACTCAGATTCACAAGGATGGGACCATTAGAACTGTGTGTGAGACAACGTCCATCAGGTCCCGCAGGATGAGTCTAGAAGTCACCGTGTGAGTCAAACACACAAACTTTGGGTGTGTGCTCCTTTTGAAGCCATTCTTCCTGTTCGCCCCCTCTCGGTCCTGTCTTGAGCATTTGACACGTCTTCGTAAGTAGAGAGCTCCACTGTGGTTAGGACGGAGGTCGGCGATAGAGTTAGATGCATGGCCGCCTCGTCCAAAGCGTGCATGTTAGTGGAAGCCCAGGACCATGACCCTCGTCTAGAGGGGTCAAGAGGTTCTTGCCTGCTTAGGGTCAGCCTCTAATGTTAAACTTCCCGAATTGTGGCCCGTAACCTCATGGAGGGTGCAAAGGGGATCCAAAATGCTGAATACAGGTGTAGCCTTCACAGTCCCCATCCCTGCTGCCTAATCAGCTCAAATCCCGTATGTCTAAAAGGCAATAGAATCGTCTGGGTTTTTCCACACTGGAAAGTCAGGTGTGGAGAACTTGAGAAGGAAAACATTTTGATTCTCTTTCCTGTCACTTATTCCCTGCTCCGTCTCCAGTGTAGACCCCATCCTTGAAGCAGAGCCTTGGAGGTTGCTCCTAATGTTAGCCCGAGGCCTGTCAGAGGCAGGTCACTGCGAGCCTCTAGGAAACACAGGACAGACATTACGAAGGGAGGAGAGGAGACTAGGCAGCTTTTTTGTGACTCCTCATACCTTTGAGCAGAGTACTGTCCACAGCCATAGCTGTCACATGTCCGGATCTCGTTGGAAGATTTGCTGGCACATATGTTAGCCCATGGTCCCGCCAGAGCTGCAGAGGAGAAATGTGAGAGCCATCGCCTCTCCAGCCCATGTCTCCCTTGTACATTTCCCCAGGACAGTGGGGTCTATTCCCCCCTCCTTTTGGGAGCTTATAGGTAAATTTTTCCTCAGCTGATTCAGATGTAAAACTTAGCCTCCTTGCTATATAGTTCTGTGACATGAAAAGGACTTATTTATAAGCACTAACTCCTCATCTCACTGTGCCAAAACAAATCATTCGTGAATACATGGTGTAAACTGTGCTTTTCAGTTTTCCTTTGCTTGTTACCAGACCTGGGAAACGCTATGGTTAAGCACACGTAAGCAGCATATCTTTAAAAAATCTTTAGGAACTGCACAATAACTTTGAAATGTTGCTTTATAATCAGATCTAAGCAAATGTTTGACTCACAGGTGAGGCATACTCTGAGCTTGCCAACTTTTTTTTTTTTTTTTTTTTTGGTTTTTATGAGACAGGGTTTCTCTGTATTGTTTCGGTCCAGCCTGGCCTCGAACTCACAGAGATCCGCCTGCCTCTGCCTCCCGAGTGCTGGGATTAAAGGCGTGCGCCACCAGCGCCCGGCTGGGCTTGCCAACTTTATGGGGCAGGAACTAAATCTCGTATCTGCATAGAAGTGGGGATTTGAGAAGTGATCTAAAGTGTTCAAACACAGTTAGCCTAAAGTGAGGTCTGAAGAAGGCTGGGAAGAGAGTAGAGATGATTATATGAAGGTTATGGAGAGTAAATATGTTGAGAGACAGCAGTCTCTCTCAGTGTATTCTGTGAAAACTTTAAGTGCAAATTACCCCTTTAGTATAATATAAATAATGATTAGTGTAAGTAATATCAATTGAATTGAATTCCCTGATTCTCAATGTTAATATTCACAGAGGCGCCGTTAGCAATTTTAGCCTCACGCTTTGAAGCAAAACTAGGAGCCTGCCAATTTGATGGTTGTGTCACTTAGAGACACTTTACATTTGCTAATGTATATGCTGTGAGGAAAAGCTACCGAGTATGACCATTCAGCTTATCCTTCGTTGCAACTTAAACTGTGAGTCTCAAAAGCCTTCTACCATAGATCCAAGCTTCAAATGAATCCTCGAGCAAGTTCTAACAGCCCCAGAACCAGCCTTTATCCTGGACAGCTGAGGCATCTAGTGGACAGCTTATTATTCATCTGTTTGTTTTTCTCGTCTGCCGTGAGCATCAAGGGGACTTTCTCTTCATTCCAATCCAGGCTTGCATCAGGAATTTCCCACATCCAATTCATCCAACTCTTACTTGAGATTTTTGTCTTCTAGGGTATTTTTGGAAGGGGGGGTGAGGTGTTAATTGATTAAATTCCAGGCCAGGCCAGCAATCCCAGCCCTTGGGGAGGCAGAGAGAGTTCCAGGACAGCTAGGCTACACAGAGAATGCTGTCTCAAAAACCAAGTGAATTAATTCCAGGCCAGGATTGAAGGCTTGTCTGAAAGTTACACCTACACATGTTTACATTTCCCGGCTGAAGACTCAGAGCATCAGGAAGAGACAGTGAAGAAACTCCCACTGCCCTACCCGCTGCACATTTTCTCACCCACGGCAACTTTAGTTATTCGTAATGTCAGGTTTTATGTTGCAGTTTTGTTATCATTGACTTTTCAGCCTACCCCTAAATCAGGGGTAAATCAGGTATATTTGTTTTTTAGTTAACCAGGATTCTGGCATTCAACTTACCAGTGGAAATCAAAGCCGCTGAAATGAAGACTGTTGTGGGAAACATCTGGATTTGCTTCCTGCCTCTGCCTCTAATCAGAATTGCTCCATGCACACACTATTCAAGTTTGAGCTAGTATTGGCGGGTAAGCTAGCTTTAGAACCCTGTGTTTCTCCCAGATGTAGCGTGAGACACAGGACACAAAATGGGTCAAGTTAAACTGTAACGTGCCGTGGAGACCTGGCTTGTTGCTCAGAGGCCTCCGTACAAGCCTTTGATCTGGGGAAACAGCTGGCGTTGTTGAGAATCGTGACTACATATTAACAGGAATGACAACATTGGATGCAGTCTGGTGTCCTTTGGTTGGGGCTAGAGGGAGCGTGTACGTGGGGATGGTGGTATAGTTATTACTGTTGGAAGGAGACCTTTCTTTCCAGGGATAATGCTTGCCTCAGTAGAGAATTGACTAGTAATAATGGTGGACACTCCCTAATATCAGCATATCTCTTAGGTGGGGGGGTCACTTCAGTTAGGTCTCATCTATATAAGATTTTAGATAATTTTAACATTTTGATAAAATTGTGTTTATTTCTTTTGAGCATGTGATTTTAAATGTTTATGATAGTGGAAATTAATACCAAAAGCATTCATCAGTATGGAAAATATGTTTGGATGATGGTATCAGTATTTGGTAGAGTATAAGAGCTTAAATGATGACTATATATATAATATATATATAGAGAGAGAGTCATATATATGTAGTTAGATTCTAAATGTAGTATTGAATAAAAAGCATTTCTAGAATTATGTATAGTATAGTTTAGTATAGTATGTCATTTCATTAAATTCCCTAAACAGAAGTGCTGCCTTTCATGAATAATACCTTCTAATAATGATGCAAAAACATGGAGCACAGACTGGGGGGAGAGAGCTGGGGGACACATCAGAACACACTGGGGGAGGGGAGATGGGGGACATGGAGACTATGTAATCTCTAAAATATTTTGTTTCTGAGAAAGTCAATAGCAATTGTGCAAAACATTAATTCGTTAATATTGGAAACATGATGCAAAATTCTCTGTTCATTGTTTTGTTTTTTGTTTGTTTTGGTTTTGTTGTTGTTGTTGTTTTGTTTTTCAAGACAGAGTTTCTTTGTGTAGCTTTGGAGGCTGTCCTGGAACTCACTCTGTAGACCAGGCTGGCTTGGAACTCACAAAGATCCACCTACCTCTGCCTCCTGGGTGTGTGCTACCACCATCTGGCTTCATTTTTTTTTTTGTACTTACACATTCTGAATTGAGATTTTCATGTACAAACCAGCAGCTCCTCGATATCCTTATTAGACAAGGACCTGGGCTTTTCTGTGAAGCGACCTCCTTTGCATACCTGGTCAACAGCCATGAAAAATGGGTCTTTTAACACTTCCCCATCTGCTGCCATACCCTGTGGCATCTCTTCCTGGTCGGAAGTGAATTCCCCAGACCTGGGTTTTGGCTCAGCTGTGTGGCATTGACCAAGCGAGTCGGGTGACAGCACTGCCTGTGGAGCCTTTGTCTTGAGCTCACTTCCTGTGCTCCGCCAGTGCCAAGAGGGCCACATTCCCAGGCTAACCCGCTGGCCCAAGGACATAAGGAAAACTCTTCACAGGCTGCAGCAATAGCAGAACTGCGTAGGTAAGGCTGCATGTCAGTTTACACAGCTCTTCACAGGCTGCAACAAAACCCCAGCGACTGGAGGAACCGTTCACTGATGGGTTGTTGCAGCAATAAAGGAAACAATGTCCGTGTGTGTGTGTGTGTGTGCGTGTGTGCGTGTGTGTGTGTGCGTGTGTGTGTGCGTGCGTGCGTGTGTGTGTGCGTGTGTGTGTGTGTGTCCGTGTGTGCGTGCGTGCGTGTGTGTGTGTGTGTGTGTGTGTGTGTGTGTGTGTGTGTGTGTGTGACCAAGCACTCACAATGCCCATAGAATAATTTCACATCTCAGGGATAGACAGGAGGATTAGAAGTTCAAGTTCATCCATTTCCCAGTATCTTAACAATTCTTTTTTCTATATAAAATGAGGTATCTGCTTTTTAAAGCTTGTATTACATTTGTTCTTTGACAATTCCAAGCATGTACATGGTGCGTTCTGATCGCCTGCCTCCACATACTGAGAATTCCTACAAGAAACACCTTGCAAACAAAACAACAGGAAAATGAACAGACGTTCACAACAGAATGAATATGAATCACCAATAATCGATGGGCATGGGCTGTATTTCCCCTACAAATGGTTACAGAGCAGGGGAAAAATTCCCACCTGCCAGATAGGCAGAGCGAGGATATGTGGACGCCTGAACACGTACTGAAAATAAAAGAGTTTGACCTTTTCAGAGGACAGTGTAGCAATACCTCTCAATTTTTCAAATGCCCGAGACCTTTGTCCCAGCAATTTTCTTGCCTTTTCTGCCTGTGGTTCTTCCTTTGGTTTTCCTGCCTTCAGTATTAACCTTCCAACCCATCTTTCTCTCCGAGACTGCAGCAACTCTCCAAACTGCAGAACAGATGGTAGCACTCTGTCTTGAAACCCTTGATGAAGCCAGGTCTGGGCAGCCGTGAGTGACGTGAAGAATGTTGGGGATGTAACTGGAGCAAGGCGGGCTCATCACGTCTTCACAGTGTTACCGCTGCAAAGAAAAAAAAATGGAGGAAAGAAAACATTTTGCGCCACTTGCAAAACTCAGGGCCGCTGAAGGACTTAGCTCCACTCCCAGTGTAGAGAAGCTGTGGGTCTGGGTCAGATGAGAAAGGATGGCACAGTGATGCAGTCAACCTCAGGAAGCTGTCCCCATGGAGAACATCATGACCCCAAGCAGCAAAAGGCGGTGGGTGGGCCAGAGAATGAAGAGAAGAGAGATGGAGCAGGGATATGACCTCTGCCTATCTTGACACTTGGATCATAGTGGGATTTATTGCTTATGTAAAAGAATCCTTAAGGGGATTTTACAGTCTTTCTTTTTTCAAAAAGCACACATGACTCTCAAAACATAGGGTACCTCTGGTTGACTGCAAAGTGCCCATGGGTTTGAAGAGTGGGTCCATGTTTTAAACATGACATCACAAACTTAGAGTTACTGAGGACAGGTAGTGGTTTGTAGGATTTTACTGCATTCTGCAGTTACTTTACAGCAAGATCCCCATTTGATCTGTCAAACACCCCAGGTTTCCTGCTGGTCCCGCCTCCAGAGTTCACTCAGAAAAACCTGCCTAAGCTGTTGGACCACTGGCTTTCTCACCAAGTGAATTCAGAAATCTAAAATAAGGTCAGAGCCTCTACTAAAGTGTGTCTATTGTAGTCATTGTCATAGAGAAGGCACTGGATGCACATGCTCTGGGGACTGGGAATCTGTGGTGACGAGTTGCTACCCTTTCTATGAGAGCACCCTGTTCCCCCAGACACACACATCCATGTGGAATGAAAACATTAACAGTCAAGTGATAAAGGAGTCTGTGCTGCCATAGGTGACCAGACAGTTTCCTGTAGTTGTTATTTCCCCTGTGATGTCTGTATTAAGCTATTAGCCAAGTCGAATTGTCTGTTATGTTGAGTGTCCTGATCCCCCCCTCTTTTTTTTAAACGGCTATATTGGGGCTGGAGAGATGGCTCAGTGGTTAAGAATGCTGGCTGCTCTTCCAGAGGTCCTGAGTTCAATTCCCAGCAACCACATGGTGGCTCACAACCATCAGTAATGGGGTCTGGTGCCCTCTCTTGGCCTGTAGGCAAACATGCAAATAGAGCTCATATAAAACATATAAATAAAAAGTAGCTATAAGCTGAATGCTTTTATTATATAAGCATTGAATCTTTATAGCAAAATTCATCCCCAAATTCAAGTCACTATAAAACAAACGTCCATTAACATTTGGGAAACCCCCACCCTTGTCTCTTATTGGGAATATCAGCATCTCAATGTCTTTAGCTTTAGAGCATAGCACTAAAAGCATAATGCAACCAAAACAAGTAGGAATTGCTTTATCAAATATTAAACTGCAAGAGGGTTGAAGTGCCACGAACAAGCTAGGATCTTCCATTTGGAAAACTGATGTGCACCCGTTTTGGTCTTACTCAGCTGTAGGAAGAATCAGTGAAAGTATGGAAACAAGTGTTTTAAATTCTATTTTGTAGAATTACATGAGGTTATTTTCATGCAACTATGGAAAGTGATTTGGGCTTGTGAAGATGGAGGTTTCTGTCCCGCCAGGTCCCGCCACCCTTCAACCCCAAATAAGCACACAGAGACATGTTAATTCATAAAACTATTGGCTGATAGCTAGGGCTTCTTACTGGCCTGCTCTCTCTTTATTAACCCATAACTACTAATGTGTGTATTTCTACATGGCCTTATCTTACCAGAGAACACCTGGTGTGTCCTGTCTTCCGTGTCTCTTCGTGGTGTCTCTTCTCTGCCTTCCTCTCCCCAGCCTTCTCCTTGTCTGGTAGCCCTGACTATGCTTTATGCCTGGCTACTGGTCAATCAGTGTTGTATTCATCAACCAATCAGAGAAACATATATAGAAGGATGTCACCCATCAGGCTTGTTCCATGCTATAGACCACTACCTGCCCTTTCTCCCCTTCCCATCTCTCTCCTTTGTTTCCCTAGAGAGTTCTACTTCTATCTGTACACGTATGGTTTTCTCTATCTACACAAACCTAGGACCCACAGATGAGAATACAAGGTGTTGAGTTGACTTGATTGGCAATACGATTACCTGTGGTTGTACCCATTTTCCTTAAATGACATAACCTCCTTTTTCTTTTAACTGAAAAAAACCTTGCTTATATGTATAAACCACCTTTTCCTTTTTCAATGTTTATTTTTGAGACTTTATTCCAATTACATTTCTCTTCTCCATTTCCTCTCTCCAAATTCTCCCATGTACCCCTCCCCTGTTGACCATCAAATTCATGGCTTCTTTTTTCATGAAATAATATATATGTATATATATATACATATATGTGTGTGTGTGTATGTGTGTGTGTATTCCCAAATATAAACTGTTGAATTCATAAAATGTTATGACCTTTTGGCACTGGACAGCCAATGAGTATGTTCTTCCTTGGGGAAGACACCTCTTCTGCGCCCAGCTTTTCCC